AAACTGCAAAGACACAGTTTTCGCATAAGAAAAATGACATTTTCTTGAAGATGCTGGACGAATGAGACAAATGAATAACGTTTAAGGCGCCCGAAAATTCCCATATCAGACACTTCCATCAAGTTTAATGCCTCAGGTCTGTTTATGTTTTACAGGAGTTCCCTGATGTACCATGAAGACGGACTCCCAGTGGTGAGCGGATTGGGTGCTGCGCCGACGCGGTGTGAAGGCTAGCGCATAAGGTGAAAAGGTCTGAAAGCGTGTGCTATGCCAGTATCAGCAAACCATGGCTCTTGCAGCCTGGTATGCGCTGAAAGTTCCCCGACACCTGGTTCCCTGGCGGTATATGCGCTTGCGCTCCCTCTGCATATGCAGGTTGTGTGCATGGCTGCCCAGTCATCATCCTCGTCCATCTGACCCCTTTTGGGGTGTTATTGTCGTTGTGGTTAATGGTAAAAATTCCTGGTCAGGTGTGCACTGTGGACCAGGGGGTGTGGTTGGTGGCACGCCAAGATGCGGGTCCGGCCGTGGCAGGTATCTGAGTCCTCACCTGACGCCGGTCTTCTTGACTCTGTCTTGACACCGGATCCAGGTGGGGAATGGGGAGGAGAGAGTGCGGTAGACGCTGCGAAAGCCAGCTATCGTTGTAAACTCACGCGTAAGTTACCGTCCCTGCGCCCGCCATGTTGCCGGTCAAGCGACGGATATGGTCGTAAGCGAGGGTCAGACTGTCGAGGTCACGACTAACACCCCCCAATGGACTGCGTTGGAGATGCGTTGGACCAAAATGCACATTGGGTTGCTTCGTGGCATGCGCTCATGGGCATGGGCTGAGTCCATGTGGACCCATAACTGCTGCCGCACATTTGCGTATGACACGCATCATGAAGACAGTTCGACCGTCGATCCTGACGATGTCCGCCATGTGATACACAACGAGGTGCAGCAGGCACGGCGACTTGCGACGGGTGCAATTGCCGAAAAAAAAGCACAGTAGCCCATCTGCGCAGGCCACGCGCAAGCCTTCCCCTGTACAACGTGGCGGGCCCACACACGCCTGACCGTGCCCCATACAACCACAATTCCTCGTTAGTCATGAACAAACACCGATTACGCACCGGCCCCCACTGCGGCCTGTGAGAACAGCTCGGGGCCTTGTATGGAATAAATCTCTTCATTGTGGTTTCCATTTTCTCCTGCAGCCCGCTACTTGGTCTGATCATTGTCATAGATAAAATACGACTAATATTATAAGGGCAGCATTCTGTGCTTACGCGTACCGGCTCAGAGTCCATTTGCACATATTTGTTTGTGGTTCCCTACTGAGCAGCGCGTTGAATAATCTCAAAAAATTTGCTGCGTGTGTAATCAAATCTGCATAATTGTAGAAAATTACTTTAACAGTGTCGACTGCTGAAGTAGTGCCCTCTCCAACTGTAGTGGTCACAGATGTTCCTGAAGGTTCCCAACTGAAAGGCTTCATCTCACTGCATCCAAGTCATTTTCGACAACATGTCACTTTTTTTATAATTACCGCTGCGTCTAAGTAGCATCTCGCACCTGAAAAAACACTTAACGTTGTTGGTTGATATCCAATAATCTTCCTCGCCCACTTAAGTGTTTCTCAGTAATCCGTAAAGAGTACGCTTGGAGGCGGATATTTTTCGGACTTCAGACAAGCCATGAATAGATGGGTTAGATAGACAGTCGTTGACACGATCACCGTGGCCATTGTTCACCGCAATGTAACTGAAATACACACACGAACCGCCCCCGTCTATTCTGAATTTAGTCACGCACACGTAGCGAACTTGCAGTGTTTATTCGTCTAAAGGGGCTTTCGAAACCAAATAAACCCTGTTTATAGAAATGAAGAACGCGTATGCGGTCCTGTGATGCCCTAAGCCTTCCGCCACCGGAGCCCACGCCGCGCTGGGAAGCATGCAATCAAGGCTACGGAGCGGCCGGAATATGCGCGCACACAGCCCTGGGACAGCCAATCACAACCAGCCACGGACTCGGCTATCACCCAATCAACTGACCAGGTTGAGACACGTGACATCTGTTCATTCACACCCACGTCACTCTTGCGGGCAAACGCCTGCGCAGGCCCAAAGTCCGCCGCGCGTCGGGGGCTCGACCAGGGCCGGACTTCCGTACAAAATGCACGAATCCAACTGACATGTTTCCCATTCTCCTAAACAAGGTTACGCCGTGATTACTGTGGCGCTGAGTACATTCAGCATTAAAGGTACCCTCAAAATCGGTAGTCAGCTGAGACGTGGTAAAGCGCTAAGCATCCAAAATTCCGTATAAACCCGATCCCGGACACATGACTGACTGGGAAGGGAAAACAGGTCACAAACAACTACTCCAGTCTGCCTTCCCATTTGTTAGTAACGTTTTTCGACCTCGATCTCAAGTTCGGAATTGTAAATATTGAAGAAAAACATGTCAGACCGGGACGGACGCTTCGGGGTTCCTACGTTAATAAATCATTAATACCCCAACTGCCGACCGTAAAGGCTTATGATTCAAACCTGAGCTCAAAATAAATGGTTCCCCTTCGCCTGCCATAGTCAAGCAGTGGTAGCGAGAGTTGACTTCCAATATTCGCCAGAACACACCAGTATCTGGACCTCCTCAGCACCAGTTGTGGTTTTCCCCGAACAAAATCATTATACGGCAGGAGCTTCATGGCCAAAATACGGCGTAAGCGAACGAGAGGCGTACGTGATAGCTAAAAGTATCCGAGGCATGGCAGGCGCAACTGCGGGGGCTTCATGCGTACTTACTCGCCCTCTCTCTCTCCGAACGTCAACCGGAACAGACATGAGCAGCAGCTGAAAATGTTTAAACCATGAGTGTGTTCATGTGCAATGAGCTTGGGGGACATGTTCGAATAGTAATGCCAGTAGAAGAAGCGATACTAGAAAAAGGCGTAACTGATAGTTGGCTAGAGTGCGCCTGCAGAGCGGAGAGGAGCGCCCAGTGAGTCAAGAGACACTTACTGTTCTTGGGTATAGGGGGAGCGATGGGCTAGCAGGGGAGAGGGGACAGCGAAACCAGTACCAACGCACCTGTTGCCACCCCCATCTCGCAGGTCGATTTAAAGTGTCACAGCCACCTCATCGCTCGTTACACAGGATGGTCGTTAGGACTCCATAATCCGAGATCTTCGCGTATACAGTGTTCAGGCTCCCAAAATTAGCGTCAAACCACGGACGGAGACTATATCCTGCCACTCGCGATATCTGCCCAAAGGATGGCTCGCCACGATGGAAAAAGAAATAGCGCATACAAGACTGAACCACTGGATCCGGCCACACTGTCAGTCGCCCTGACGCGGCCCCAACAGCAGATAATGCTGGGAGCGAGACCACAGAAGCTGACTCTGTGCAACCTTGCTTTGCTAATAGTCAACGATGTCAAATTCAAAGTTGTACAGCTAAACGGTGCGGCAACAAGATGCTGAAGGCTCAGAGCCAGACCGTGATTACTATTCCCCGCCGCGGGGCTGACAGCAAACACTAGGAATAGCCGGATTTGCGAAGCCCGGCTCGGACAGCACAGAAACAGACGGACAGGCCGGTACAAGAATGCGAAAAGCCTCATTAGTCGCTGAGCGCCACCTTGCCCCCTCCCCCCCCCCGGGAGAAGTCAAACCAAGTGCGGCTTACCACTGCTCTGATACTCGTCAAGCGGTTGCGCGCCCAAACCACCACATGTGCCCACCCTAGGTTTCATGGCGAGTACACAGTCCCATTGGAGATGTAGTCTGCGTCTCTCACTTGAGGGGCCGTTCTCCGGGAAACAGTGAGTTAAACAATTTCCGTATGGCTACTACGACCAAACGCAGTTTACAACCAACCGCAAAAACCAGTCTATAATCAATTGTGAAGGCTTCAAGAGGCGTGTCAGTGACGTCCGCTCGAATGCCGACGTCACTCACAGGCCGGACGATTGGCGGCAAGTCGACCATTGTGATGTTGGAAACTTTCTGTCCCGCAGAAACGGTGACCATTAATCAAGATGTCTTCTCCTTGCCACACGCGGTGTTAAAATGCTTTGGTCAGTGCGTCTTTTAGAGATGCCTTCTTTCATTCTCTGAATGAGAAATCTCGCTAACCAAATCAGCGGACACACGGACTTCAGGGTCACGATATAAATGCATGGAATCTCAAGATAGAGACGTTGTTCTTAAAGTACACACAACACAGAAAATAAGTGTCTGGCAGAGAGGCAAACAGCCTGTGTCATCAACGGAGGAAATAAATAATCAAAGTTGCATAATTACAAAAGTCGACGTAGGGAGACCCAAAGGGCATCGGGACGTACACGAGAAAGAAATCACAGAAGACAAAGTATAAGAACAAAGTCTAACAAATATCTTGGTTTTCTGCCTCATCTCCACCGCCCTCTTCCGGGTCTTCCTTTGCTGAAGGGTTCGGCGCCTTGGACTCGCCGAATGAATCAGCTGAGGGGAACTTGATGGTTCGCAGCAGCCTCGAATACTATGGAGCACAAAAAAGTTAAAATAAACATCTACCGATATCGTATAAGTAGACCTATTCATTAATATAAATACCAATGTGAGTCGAACGCGCAACACGCGGGATTACCTCTATTTCCATTGCTCTAAATGTGGGTAGCTTAACTACGTTGGCTGCGCCTGCTGCATCCATGCTGTCAAAGACCTGAAGAAGGCTGGCTGCAGGTCCTGCGTCGTCTGTCTGACCGAAGCGATAGCGTCTAGAAAGAATCGGAGAGAATTTTCTGGCTCTGTGGGTTTGCATTTGCATGGATATAAAAAACAGCTTCATAAATAGGCAGGAGAAGCAATGAAAACGTTAAGGGATGATCTCGGAAGATGAAGGGAAAGAGAATACGCACTGAACAGCTTCGTCGTAGACCTTGGAGGCGGCAATCGAGTCCCCCTGGAATAATTTGATGATGAGCAGGGCCAGCACAGCCTTACCGCAGACGCGATAAGCAGTTTCAGCATCATCGTTGGCCGCGCACTCACAGAGCTTCATTTCATAGCGTAGGAGCCGTTCGGCTTCGGTGAAACGATGAAGGCTGGTCCAAATACGCGCTGCCTGGCTGGCAAGATCGGCTCCCTCAAGAGCCTTGCCCTCAAGCTGGTAGTGTTGAACAAAAAGGCGAAGAAAGAGGTGGGCGACTATGGCACTTTATCGGTTCGTCCAGGATAATTGAAATTACATTGCATTAATCCCGATTTGTTTGAAATGACATCGTGGACATCGTCGGCAACGGCAACAAAACTGTCCGGTCGGGGGATATCAGATATTTATGAGTATTTTCAACCACAACAAGCATACGTTAGGCTTTCGGTCAACGTCTTGCCATAGTCTACAGTCCCAAATACTTATTAAGTTAACGAAGTATGTGGGCATTAGGCGATCTCCTTTTCTCCCAATCCAAAGCGACTACTCTCAACGATTACCGTTCTTTATCCAAATGAATAATTTTGCCATCATGGAGTTAAGTTGGGCAAATTCTGAAAAAAATGAACAAAGTTGCGTTAATGCATGCATACGCTCAGGGAGACTTATCTGTCCCCCTCACATGCTATCCTTTCCGCTCGTTTTACTAGGTTGTGGTACCACCCGGATGTCGGACAAAGGCCGATCTCGTGATAACTGAGGACGAGTATGACGGACACTTCCGTGTGGAGACCATCTTTGAGGGCAGCGTCAGTGTGCTTGTAAAGGACAAGAAGGACGGCTCTGTCCTCTGCCCAGTCATCATCAATGATCTCACCAAGGTTCTGACACCCCAGTATGGATTCCTGCCGGTGAAGGAGGTTCGTGGTGCCGTCTCCTACATCAATGAGGGCCGCTGCTTCTGCAGTTACGGGGTTGCCCAGCGGGTAGACCTCACGGAGTCGAGGATTGCGGGCTGAGCAGTTGCTTTAGCGCGCGACAAATCCTGACATTGATCAACCGTCCCCCTGCCTGCAGTCTCCTGTGTCCTAGTCCAAACCAGCGTCACTTATCCCCCAACCGCTCCTATCAAACCCATCTCCCCACCAACCTCCTGTCCAGACTTATTTCATTTTCTTTAAAAGCATGCCTTTGAAGAAGTCAGTCTTTATTAATTGTGCTAATAAGGTCTGCTTTTAAGTGCTCCTGCCTGCAAGCAATTGTTTATTCACAAGCAGCAATTAACCGCAGTTGGCCCGTTTCCCCACCCCCCAACTTTTACTGAATTTGACTGGGAGGGGTGGAAGGTTCGCACTACATTAGGGGACTTAATGGTGCTTTCGAAAAATAAATAATGAGGACCAAATGGAAACGCTGTGCGGACGCCTTCAGCCTAGAATGCCGGCTAGGGTTCCGTTTTTAGTCCTCTGCATTTGGACTCTTGGGCGGTGGAAGCGAATTCGAGTCAGATCACGGCAGACTCCGAGACGATTCTCAAAATAGGCTTGCAAGCAATAAATATTTTTAAGACCGTATTACTACTTAAAGGCGGGAAGGAATTGCTTGGAACAACGTGCTGGCTTCGCAATAACAGTATCCCCAGCCATCTGCCTTAAATGGATTCAGGAAAACAGTTGTGTGGTTTATAATTTTCGCTGCTTGCTTAGGTGAAGGAGGAAACCGAAGGCAACCTCCGCGTGTAGGTCAATAATAAGCAAACTGCGACCTACTTACACATATATAGTAGTTAGTTGGTGTATGCGACAGATTCTTTGGATCATTTACCCTTGTTATAATCCCGCTAGAGTTCCTAGAAGGGCGCCAAGGTGGCTCCGCATCCCATAATCGTCTTGCAGGTTTCTAGGCGGGATGCTTGGAGGAATGCTGTCGACAAAGCCAGGGGGCACAGAGTATAACTGTTTCTGGGTTACGGACCGCCATCGTCAAATAATGCTCCAAATCCAGGCCGAACGTCTGCTGTTTAAATCCGAATCAGTTCTGATTAAACAAGCATTCCAGAGCTTAGTATATTAACCCTCCTCCTGTCAGCTGACATGGAGAATGCTGGACGTCACAGGCGACCGCCCGCCTGAGTTCTGGACTTTTAGCTCTGTGGCGATGCCTAACTCTGACCTGAGGTCAAGAGGTGTCGTCAGCCGTCATTCGCGCGTAACGATTGATATTTCAATTTTAAAAACCTAAATTACCGAAATGCTTGAAATGTCTGCGCAGACATTTGCGCAGAATAATCTCTTTAGGCTAAGAAATGTCTGCTGGAAGTCATGCAGTGGGTGGTACAGGCCCAAGTCCTAGCTGAGAAGGGTTGGGTGCTATCCTGTATGATGGTAGGGGGCGCTCACCGATCGCTCTTGCGGAACTCACTCGTTCCGTTGTGCCTTACGGGCTCTCTTTCGAGCCCAAACAGCGGCCGCACAGCGGCGCATGTTATGGACAGTATGTTATTACCGACAAAGACAAGGGAGACTGGAATGGCCATTTCTGGTTTATTGGCCGTCGTCAGCCAGGCATACCCAACCCGGAAAGCTGGAACACCCGAGACTCGAACTCGACTGCTAGTTGGGCTCGAGAGGGAGCCTGTAAGGCACAACGGAACGAGTGAGTTCCGTAAGAACGATCGGTGAGCGTCGCCTACCATTGTATATTCCCGATCGAAAACCGGCAGGACAACGGGCTCGTGCCCCAGTGGGTAGAGGCGTGGACTTCTAAACTAACAGGTCGCGAGTTCGAGTCTCGGGTGTTCCACACTTCGGGTTTGGGTATGGCTGTCTGACGACGGCTAATAAACCAGAAATGGCCGTTCCAGTCTCCCTTGTCTTTGTCGGTGATGCCATTCTGCCTATATATCATGCGCCGCTGTGCGGCTGCTGCTGCCAACATCCTAACAAGTATGAATTAACTTAGAATAGTGTTCCATGCTAACTGGTTTCGTACCATTGCCACGGTAATATTTTTCGTTGGAAAATACACCGAAAATGTCGGTCGGTACTCCGAGAGTTCCCACCTACATTTTAGAACTTTGGAAGATAATGTCCATCGCTGGACAACCATCGCTGGAACACCCGAGCCTCGAACGGGCTCGTGGCCCGGTCCATCACCGCTAGATACAACGCATGGCCCTTGAACACAGGGGACCTTCACGCGGGTGGTTCGACCGTCCCGAGGACGATGTCCATCAACTGCCACACAGAGTGGACGCAACACTGGCACTCGCTCAGCATCTACCGCACTACCTGCTCCCTCCCTCACCTTCCTTTGATGAAAGACGGTGTCAGGACGGCCGGAGGTGGGCGCCGGTGAAGTGGCTGACAAAGCTAAAGACACAGGACACACAACCTGGTATCCAATACCTGTAGGAGATGTTCGGAGAGGACATGCGTGACAGCGCCATGAGGGCCGCAGTGGGAGGAATCCATTTCAGCTTGGCCCTCGGTCCTGAGAAGGATGGACCTATCCCGTCAGTTGGTAACATTCCAACCTATGACTGTAGGCGGGTCGTGACAAGTTCAAGCGCGCCAGATGTACAGTAGGTGACCTAACTGATGAAAGACATAACAACAGATATTTTGCTGAAGCTGTTAGTGTTATGCTAGTTCCACCCCGAAATAAGCAGAAGCTACACCGCAGAAAAGGTAATGCTTCATATGTTCAAAGCTGAAAATGACTATTTGGCAATAGTCGTTTTGGTGTCAACTTATAGACCTTTCCAAATGGCAAAATGACTTCGGTCCATTTAAGAAAAGAATTGCCTGTGTGCGTTTTTACTACACTCTAGGGCCCGAAATCGCATAGGGTTGCCAACCTGACTTTTGAAAATCGATAGAACGCCTGCTTCTCTAAAAATAGCCCATGTGTCGGCAAACTGATACCCACGGTTAGCATCGGACAAAAATCGATTTTCAAGTGCGTCACGTTCTGCTGAGCAGACCTCTTGAGGGCAAACTGCTCTCTTTTCAAAGAAGAACGCGGCCAGATGCACAACCGAAGTCTAAGACAGGCATTAGCGTATGAAATTCCCCGAACACATCCCAACGTTCATTTTCACATAAATTCATAAACATTTTGCTTGATAAAACTGCAAAGACACAGTTTTCGCATAAGAAAAATGACATTTTCTTGAAGATGCTGGACGAATGAGACAAATGAATAACGTTTAAGGCGCCCGAAAATTCCCATATCAGACACTTCCATCAAGTTTAATGCCTCAGGTCTGTTTATGTTTTACAGGAGTTCCCTGATGTACCATGAAGACGGACTCCCAGTGGTGAGCCGATTGGGTGCTGCGCCGACGCGGTGTGAAGGCTAGCGCATAAGGTGAAAAGGTCTGAAAGCGTGTGCTATGCCAGTATCAGCAAACCATGGCTCTTGCAGCCTGGTATGCGCTGAAAGTTCCCCGACACCTGGTTCCCTGGCGGTATATGCGCTTGCGCTCCCTCTGCATATGCAGGTTGTGTGCATGGCTGCCCAGTCATCATCCTCGTCCATCTGACCCCTTTTGGGGTGTTATTGTCGTTGTGGTTAATGGTAAAAATTCCTGGTCAGGTGTGCACTGTGGACCAGGGGGTGTGGTTGGTGGCACGCCAAGATGCGGGTCCGGCCGTGGCAGGTATCTGAGTCCTCACCTGACGCCGGTCTTCTTGACTCTGTCTTGACACCGGATCCAGGTGGGGAATGGGGAGGAGAGAGTGTGGTAGACGCTGCGAAAGCCAGCTATCGTTGTAAACTCACGCGCAAGTTACCGTCCCTGCCCCCCCCCCCTGTAGCCGGTCAAGCGACGGATATGGTCGTTCGCGAAGGTCGGACTGTCGAGGTCACGACTGACACCTCCCCCCAATGGTCTGCGTTGGAGATGCGTTGAACCAAAATGCACATTGGGCTGCTTCATGGCATGCGTTCATAGGACTGTGCTGAGTCCACCTGGACCCATAACTGATACCGCACATTTTCGTATGGCACGCATTTTGACAACAGTTCAACCATCCGTGTGCTGCACAACGAGGTGCAGCAGGCACGACGACTTACGCATGAATTAGTTTATGGGGGTTTGGGTGCAATGGTTGACCAAACACAGTAGCTCATCTGCGCGGGCCACGCGCGAGCCTTCCCCTGTACAACGTGGCGCGCCCACACACGCCTGACCGTGCCACGTACAACCACAATTCCACGTTAGTCGTGGAAAAACACCGATAACGCACCAGCCTCCATTGCTGCCTGTGAGAACAGCTCAGGGCCTTGTATGGAATAAATCTCTTCATTGTGGTTTCCATTTTCTCCTGCAGCCTGCTACTTGGTCTGATCATTGTCATAGATGGAGTACGACTAATATTATAAGAGCAGTATTCTGTGTTTACGCGTACCGGCTCAGAGTCCATTTGCACATATTTGTTTGTGGTTTCCTTCTGGGCAGCGCGTTGAATAATCTCAAAAAATTTGCTGCGTGTGTAATCAAATCTGCATAATTGTAGAAAATTACTTTAACAGTGTCGACTGCTCAAGTAGTGTCCTCTCCAACTGTAGTGGTCACAGATGTTCCTGAAGGTTCCCAACTGAAAGGCTTCATCTCACTGCATCCAAGTCATTTTCGACAACATGTCACTTTTTTTATAATTACCGCTGCGTCTAAGTAGCATCTCGCACCTGAAAAAAAAACACTTAACGTTGTTGGTTGATATCCAATAATCTTCCTCGCCCACTTTAGTGTTTCTCAGTAATCCGTAAAGAGTACGCTCGGAGGCGGATATTTTTCGGACTTCAGACAAGCCATGAATAGATGAGTTAGATAGACAGTCGTTGACACGATCACCGTGGCCATTGTTCACCGCAATGTAACTGAAATACACACACGAACCGCCCCCGTCTATTCTGAATTTAGTTACGCACACGTAGCGAACTTGCAGTGTTTATTCGTCTAAAGGGGCTTTCGAAACCAAATAAACCCTGTTTATAGAAATGAAGGACGCGTATGCGGTCCTGAGATGCCCTAAGCCTTCCGCCTCCGGAGCCCACGCCGCGCTGGGAAGCATGCCATCAAGGCTACGGAGCGGCCGGAATATGCGCGCACACAGCCCTGGGACAGCCAATCACAACCAGCCACGGACTCGGCTATCACCCAATCAACTGACTAGGTTGAGACACGTGACATCTGTTCATTCACACCCACGTCACTCTTGCGGGCAAACGCCTGCGCAGGCCCAAAGTCCGCCGCGCGTCGGGGGCTCGACCAGCGCCAGACTTCCGTACAAAATACACGAATCCAACTGGCATGTTTCCCCTTCTCCGAAAGGAGGTTACGCCGTGGTTACTGTGATGCTGAGTACATTCAGCATTAAAGGTACCCTCAAAATCGGTAGTCAGCTGAGACGTGGTAAGGCTCCAAAATTTCATGTCAACCCGATCCCGAACACACGGCTGACTGAGAAGGGAAAACAAGTCTGAAAACACTACTCCAGTCTGCCTTCCCATTTGTTTGTAACGTTTTTCGACCTCGATCTCAAATTCGGAATTGCAAATATTGAAGAAAAAACATGTCAGAACGGGACGGACGCTTCGGACTTCCTACGTTAATAAATCATTAATACCCCAACCACCCACCGTAAAGGTTTATGGTTCAAACCTGAGCTCAAAATAAATGGTTGCCCTTCGCATGCCATAGCCAAGCAGTCGTAGCGAGAGCTGACTTCCAATATTCGCCAGAACACACTAGTATCTGGACCTCCTCAGCACCAGTTGTGGTTTTCCCCGAACCAAATCATTATACGGCAGGAGCTTCATGGCCAAAATACGGCGTAAGCGAACAAGAGGCGTACGTGATAGCTAAAGGTATCCGAGGCATGGCAGGCGCAAGTGCGGCGGACTTCATGCGTACTTACTCGCCCTCTCTCTCTCCCCGAACGTCAACCGGAACAGGCATGCGCAGAAGCTGAAAATGTTTAAACCATGAGCGTGTTCATGCGCAGTGAGATTGCGGGACATGTTCGAGGAGTAATGTCAGTAGACGAAACGATACTAGAAAAAGTCGTAACTAAGAGTTGGCTGAAGTGCGCCTGCAGAGCGGAGGGGAGCCCCCAGTGAGTCAAGAGCCACTTACTGTTCTTAGGTACAGGGGGTGCGAAGGGCTAGCAGGGGAGAGGGGACAGCGAAACCAGTACCAACGCACCTGTTGCCACCCCCATCACGCAGGTCGATTTAAAGTGTCACAGCCACCTCATCGCTCGTCACACAGGATGGTCGTTAGGACTCCATAATCCGAGATCTTCGTGTATACTGTGTTCAGGCTCCTAAAATTAGCGTCAAACCACGGACGGAGACTATATCCTGCCACTCGCGATATCTGCCCAAAGGCTGGTTCGCCACGATGGAAAAAGAAATAGCGCATACAAGACTGAACCACTGGATCCGGCCACACTGTCAGTCGCCCTGACGCGACCCCAACAGCAGATAATGCTGGGAGCGAGAACACAGAAATTCACTCTGTGCAACCTTGCTTTGCTAATAGTCAACGATGCCAAATTCAAAGTTGTACAGCTAAACGGTGCGGCAACGAGATGCTGAAGGCTCAGAGCCAGACCGTGATGACTATTCCCCGCCGCGGGGCTGACAGCAAACACTAGGAATAGCCGGATTTGCGAAGCCCGGCTCGGACAGCACAGAAACAGACGGACAGGCCGGTACAAGAATGCGAAAAGCCTCATTAGTCGCTGAGCGCCACCTTGCCCCCCGGGGAGAAGTGAAACCAAGTGCAGCTTACCACTGCTCTGATACTCGTCAAGCGGTTGCGCGCCCAAACCACCTCATGTGCCCACCCTAGGTTTCATGGTGAGTACACAGTCCAATTGGAGATGTAGTCTGCGTCTCTCACTAGAGGGGCCGTTCTCCGGGAAACAGTGAGTTAAACAATTTCCGTATGGCTACTACGAGCAAACGCAGTTTACAACCAACCGTAAAAACTAGTCTATAACCAATTTTTAAGGCTTCAAGAAGCATGTCAGTGACGTCCGCTCGAGTGCCGACGTCACTCACAGGCCGGACGATTGCCGGCAAGTCGACCTTTGTGATGCTGGAAACTTTCTGTCCCGCAGAAACGGTGACCATTAATCAAGATGTCTTCTCCTTGCCACACGCGGTGTTAAAGTGCTTTGGTCATTGCGTCTTTTGGGGATGCCTTCTTTCATTATCTGAATGAGAAATCTCGCTAACCAAATCAACGGACACGCGTATTTTAGGGTCACGATATAAATGCGTGGAAGCTCAAGATAGAGACGTTGTTCCTAAAATACACACAACACAGAAAATAAGTGTTTGGCAGAGAGACAAACAGCCTGTGTCCTCATTGTAGGAAATAAATAATCAAAGTTGCATTATTGCACAAGTCGATGTATGAATACAGTAGGAAGACCCAAAGGGCATCGGGACGTACACGAGAACGAAATCACAGACGACAAAGTATAAGAACAAAGTCTAACAAATATCTTGGTTTTCTGCCTCATCTCCACCGCCCTCTTCCGGGTCTTCCTCTGCTGAAGGGTTCGGCGCCTTGGACTCGCCGAATGAATCAGCTGAGGGGAACTTGATGGTTCGCAGCAGCCTCGAATACTGTGGGGTACAAAAAAGTTAAAATTAATATCTACCGATATCGTATAAGTAGACATATTCATTAATATAAACACCAAGGTGAGTCGAAAGCGCAACACGCGGGATTACCTCTGTTTCCATTGCTCTAAATGTGGGTAGTTTAACTACGTTGGCTGCGCCTGCTGCATCCATGCTGTCAAAGACCTGAAGAAGGCTGGCTGCAGGTCCTGCGTCGTCTGTCTGGCCGAAGCGATAGCGTCTAGAAAGAATCGGAGAAAATTTTCTGGCTCTGTGGGTTTGCATTTGCATAGATACAAAAAATAGCTTTATAAATAGGCAGGAGAAAACGTCAAGGGATGATCTCGGAAGATGAAGGGAAAGAGAAGACGCACTGAACAGCCTCGTCGTAGACCTTGGAGGCGGCAACCGAGTCCCCCTGGAATAATTTGATGATGAGCAGGGCCAGCACAGCCTTACCGCAGACGCGATAAGCAGTTTCAGCATCATCGTTGGCCGCGCACTCACAGAGCTTCATTTCATAGCGTAGGAGCCGTTCGGCTTCGGTGAAACGATGAAGGCTGGTCCAAATACGCGCTGCCTGGCTGGCAAGATCGGCTCCCTCAAGAGCCTTGCCCTCAAGCTGGTAGTGTTGAACAAAAAGGCAAAGAAAGAGGTGGGCGACTATGGCACTTTATCGGTTCATCCAGGATAATTGAAATTGCACTGCATTAATCTCGATTTGTTTGAAATGACTGGCAGCCTTTTACAGACAGGTCCATCGGCACCTTCAATATTGCTATGTCGGACTTGACATAATTTCTTCCTATTTAAAGTGCTCGCGACATCGGACAAAACACAGCAAACTGCGTTAAATTGATGGCGTGAAGAAAAAGACTTTTAAAGACCCCAGAAGCCAGTGCGTTTAATGCTTATCAGAAAACCTACTCGAAGACGCACCGCAAAAAATAAACGTCACCAAGAAGGAATTCAGGATGAAGAAACTCCAATCTCTTCTCCATTCTACCAACGAGGACAGCATGTCTACGGCATCCTGTGTACGCGTGCAACTAACCAATATAATTTACCGCCGTTCTTACGTCGACTTTGGCCATACAGACCGACGTCTGGGGACTCGAACTAACGACTATAAGCAAGCCAACTTTCGGAGTTACCCTTTGTCGCTCGTGTTCGGGTACGTCCTGAAGTGTGACCACCATTGCATTCGCGCCCACCGTCTAAAAGCTGCTGCTCGTAGTCCCTGCTCGGTCATGTAGAATCGCACCGACTTGCTATCCCCTACCTTCGACACGGGGAACTATAACCGAAACTCTTAAGACTAACATCGGCCCACTGACCCCTATCCCTATCCCACATAAACGAGCCGCCTGCAGTCCAACCGATCCGCTATCTCATCCGCGCCAACACAGAGAGCAGAGACAGTCCTCGCTTCCCTTCCCCTCTGTCCCATAACTTGAAGTAATTCTGTGCGTCTGACACCTTCTGTCCAGTTGCGCTAACCAGTCTAGTCTGTCATTCTCCTTCTCTCCTTTGTTCATTTCGTCTGGCTGGCGCCACCAACTTGAAAATTCATGAGTACAACTCGATTATTCGAAGAGTCTTCTCTGATCATGATAAACATATATACATATATATATATATGGCAGCGAGGAGGGACGACAGAGAATGCGGGTAGATTGATCAGCCAATCATAACCCTGACCACCAGCAGCTGAGACCAGAAACACAAACATGCGCACAGACGCACCTGGCGCAGTCGGTCCACCACTGAGGCCTACCAGATGGGTCATAAGCACTTCATCGAACCGAAGTTCATCAGTGCCTCGCCACCTGTCATTCTCTGTCGCTGCAGGTGCGTCTGTGCGCATGTTTGTGTTTCTGGTCTCAGCTGCTGGTGGTCAGGGTTATGATTGGCTGATCAATCTACCCGCATTCTCTGTCGTCCCTCCTCGCTGCTATTATGACTTGGCCGACTTCGGCCTGGTAATTGGTTGCCTGTTCGTGACCCTTGCCACACATACGGAGCTTGTTTGCTTTGTGAAGCCAATAGATCGGTGTGCGCCCATTCCTGATTGATATATATATATATATATATTATATATTATTATATATATATATTATAGATATATATATACATGTTACTAGGCATTATGCAACAACCTATGAGGGTTCTAGTTTGAGCTCCAGTGCACAACGGGACGAGCACGCTCCGTAACCTGATCGGTGAACATCCATCTGTCGTAATTAATACTCCCGACCACAACTGACAGTACAACACGTCTGTGACTCAATGGTAGTGTCACACTCAATGAATAAAGACTCCGGGTTCGAGTCCCATGTGATCTGTACCTGGGGTTGAGTATGACTGGATGATGATGGTGGTGGTGGTGGCGGCGGCGGTGGTGGCCAATAATCCTCACTGTTGCGAGATCAGACGCTTACTTGACATGTTTATATACCTCATTTTCTATGGCCTCTGGCGTACTGATGACCGGCAAGGGCCGTGAAACAGGAAGTAAGTTCACTTTCGAGACAGAGGTTGATGGACAACTCTCATTGCTGGATGTCCTCGTATGACGAGGAACTGATGGATCCCTTCACACTTCAGTTTATCGCAAGGAAACCTACTCCAAAGTCATCCTACATTCTAAGAGTAACCATCCCGTCTCTCACAAGAGGAGTAATGTCTACAGCCTGCTAAACCCAGCTAAAACACACTGCTCTAATGAAGAAAGTTATCACGCAGAAGTGAAATAACTTTTCAAATTATGTTCCCACAACGGGTACCGGCGCGACTTTGTACGTCATTGCATGAAGCATGAGTTTAAACAGAAAGGTATCTCGAAAACTACGGCCGTCCAGGCACCAAAAACATTCACCTGACGGACTCTCCCATACGTGAAAAATGTATCTGAGGTCGTCAAAAGACAGCTGAAAAAACATAAGATACAAGTAGCGCATTAACCTGCAACCACCTTCGTACACAGCTTGTACACCCTAAGTACGGGGATGGCTATCTCGATAGAAAAGATGTTGTCTACATGATCCCATTTACCAGTTGTGATGCCGTATATTGTGACCAGACCGGGAAATCTGTCTCAATCCGTATACATGAGCATCAGTTAGCGGTGAAGGGACGAGATCATCTATCCCAGGTGGCTATGCACACAATGGACACTGGACACAAATTTACGTGGGAGAACACTCGCATTGTTGGCGCCTGCCCAATAAGGAAAGGTCGCGAATTCCTGGAGTCAATGCACTTAGATGAGGCATGCATCAATCGGCATATCGATTTAGATGTTACATACAAATTTCTCAAGGACAAAGGGGAGCGAGCGCAGCCAATGCCGAGGGGATGACGAAAAACCATTGACGCGCATTGGCGCAAGCTTCGGCCAACCATAGAATCACTTGTTCAACACGGTTAAATAGTTAACTGTTTTTGTACATAACCCAGAAGTCTGACGACGAGCTGGGGAACCAGTTCCGAAAATTTACGCATCAAAGGTCATTTTCTTCCCAAAGAATCTTACTATTTTCTATGTATATATACATATATATAAACAATGGTAGGGTGACGCTGGCCAATTACGTTACGGGGCACACTCGTACCATTGTGCCTTGGGCCTCAATCTCGATTCATCCAGCAGCCGCTCAGTAATTACTTATACGGGCAGAATAACGTTGCCGAAAAAAGGGAGCTGAAACGGCCACTTATAAGCATGCAGTACGGAGACTCCAAGCGCAAGTGAAACTTCAGGTCGGGTTCAGAATTATTTGGGAATTGAAGTTTTCCTAGATGCTAAAGACACCCTTTTCTCAAACGGACAGTAGGCTTAATCGTCTGGCACCGATGTAAGATAGGATTTTCACCTTGGGAGGCCCAACTGCACTTGGGTTGGCTGGTGGTTAGAGCACTTCCTTCCGATCGATACCTTGTAAACAACAGTTACTCCTACGTCGGAAATAAAAAGGGCAAACTCACAGTTGAGGAAAGCGCGCGACCAGGAGAATGAAATAATACCTTAGTATGACTTAAATTGAATTTAGCATCACATAAAGAAAATAGGGAATTTCGAATAGTAAACACTGAGGAAAAACAACTTACTTCTGCAGTCTCGGCGGCGTTTTCATAGAATTCAGTAGACTTTTCTGGCATTTGGCTTTCCAGTGCTCTTTGGTACAAGATAAAATTAGGTTGTGACTAGGCTGCGGGAAAGTTGTAAAACTAAATGCACGAAAATGAATACGCGTAGGTTGTGGGACAATCCCGCATGGATTGTAACCCATCTTATTAAAAACACACCTACTGCTTGTGACGGGATTTTTACCGTAGCTGTCGATTCAGTCGGCCCGTGATGCAGCAAAGCTGTGTTTCTACCGATTGTCTCGCACTGCAGGTTCCAAGTTAGCTACTTGGCGCGCCGGACACATGAAGCGCAAATTATGGCGCCATAGGCCCACTTTTATTCGCCTCATGGCTGCTCATCCCGGCGACGTTATCAGACAGGATCGTATACCAGTGAGACAACACCCGAGCAATGTCACCTTCACGATGGTGAAGTGCGTGGCCGGTACGTTCAAGTGAACGAGCAGATTGTGCATCGAATAACACAAGGTGACTGACTAATCCGGAAAAAAGTCGGTGAATGCTAGATATCGGACACTTCTTAGGAAATAGATGTTATCTGGGCGCAGTCGCGCATATTCTGTTTCAGTTGACAGAACGCCGCTTCTATAAGATCCAGAGAGGGCAGGCGTGTAGTCGACTGGTCCGACATTCGATTTCACTTTTAACTATCTACCCAACAGTTCAAACCAGTTCAGCGGATGTGCAATAGCTCCAAGGACTTCACGTAAACCAGCACAGAACAGTTGCTTCCGGGGTGAAACACGAGAGTAGTCCCCGTCGCAGAGATATATTTTTAGGCTTGCCACCGCTCTTTTCGTAACTGACAGAAAAGAGTCCTAGGATTTCATTTTGAAAGTTGAGTTTTAAATCCCCATAGCATATTCAGAGGTGACAATCAACCCTTTCGGTGCGGTTCCTCTGTGTTAACTATGGTTCCGAGGCAAGGAATCTGCAAAAGATCAGTATTCACGTTTGTTTTGAAGTCCTAACTGATAAAATCCTCAGCAAATTTACCCAATCTTTATAATACTCATACTTTAAGTCGACAACCAACAAAATATCACTGAAGTATGCAGCCGTGCGTGATACAACTGTGAGCATTGTATCGCAATCAGCTAGAAATGGCATGATGACGTTTTAACGTCACGGTTTAGGCGATCCTTCCCTGAAAAAAAAACTGTTAGAGGTATTTATAGTCGGTATTTCCTTTGACTTGTCTACCTCAATTGGCAAGTAGACCAATGAGAGATGAATCTGTTCAGAAAACACTCGGCCGCTCAGCGTAACGAAAGTTGCAACTAGTTAGTAAAATATAGTGATAATCTCCTGACGAATAATCCATATGCAATCTGGAACTTCGGTTCGGATTTTTAAAAGCTAAAAAGTGCAGCAGCCCAAGTGTACATTTCTGCTTTAAAAACTCTGAATTGTAAACGGAACACGTCATACTGTCGCCCCTAGCTTGGCGTGCAGGATGGCATTCCACGACCAACTTGTCCATTTCCAAACGTCTTGTCGTTCCGTCGCGTCTATATGACTTGACTTGGTGCACCTGTGATCATGCCTGACCTAACCTGCCTCGGCGATGTTGCTGACCATACTTCTCTACGCGCGACGATCTGCAGCAGCGGATATGGGCAGCTCCATCTATTCTTCTCAATCTACAGAGGTCAAATACCGAAGATCAGACAATCACTTCTATGACTTGATAAATTGAGCCAGGTTATGATTTGGTTTCCTATTCGACGCCTCAAGGTGAACCGTAGCGTCGGATCGAGGGCATTATAATCGAGCTCATGACACGGAAGACATAGAACGCGCCGAAACTGTCTCAGTCACGCGCAAAATTCAGCATTCACAACCATAGAAAACTGATTGGACGGACGTACATCACACGCAGATTTTCGTGACAATGGCGATGTCGCTTCGGGTTTATGGGCACTTTTTAAGGATTGAGAAAACCCACCGGTTCGGGAGTCAATATCGTCCTTACTATGTCCGTTGGGCAGCAGCCCCGCCCTGAGGCATTTGGAACTGTCTACTTGTCCAAGTTGACAACTATTAATCCCGATGGGTGCCTTCTCCCGGTCAGGGATGCAGCTCTAAAAAAATTTAGGCGTCCCAGCGTTGGTGTACAAACCGACCGAAATGGCGACTTCACTCCCCATGACACCACAGACAGTAGATCATTAAAGCTCGAGATTGGTTGGGGCAATATCGTCGGCGTGGTCAAGATATGTCAGCTGACGTGAGGGTGCAAGCCCAAGAGCATCAAAGTCTTGTGGAGCCATTCAGAGAGTCCCTCAATGGCGTAGATGAACATAATGGGCGACAGAACACACACTTGTCGAGCGTCACACCTAATATGGAACGATTGGGAGATATTTTGACGAACGGAAAGTCGGGCGGTTGTGGAGCTATAATGGATTTTAATCATAGCGAAGACATCTGTCGGCGTACCATCTAATTCTATAATCCGCCACAGCGATTCGCGACGAACGAAGCATAACGCTGGGGCAAAGTCGACAAAGCGGACGGGCATCGGTTGCTGGTAGCCATGGCGAAATTCAAGAATGCGTTTCAGTGTGAATACGTTGTCCGCACGTCCACGCCCAGCCTGGAACCCGGTTTGTTTGGGTCTCGTCCTTGAGTTACGAACACCAGCGAATCGCCTGAGAAGGATCGTAGTTAAGAACTTAACAGCGAATTCGATGACACTTATGCTGCGGTAGTTCTCGTAGTTTGCTTTGTCTCCCCTCTTAAAGACAGATAAAAAGATGCCTGAGCCCCACTTAACAGGGACGACCTTATCCCCCCATGCTTGCTCAGTCACCTGGGCGTTACTGCTGCCACGGGACTTGTACACTTCAGAGGGAAAACCGTCCTCCATAGGTGACTTGTTGTTTTGCAGCCTCTGTATTGCATTGGCGATTTCTCCTTGAAAAGGGGAATTACGTGACACTGTATAGACTGGAGAGGCTGAAACTCCGCTGTAGAGGGTGTGATGGGTTGGTCATCGAAGTTGAGGTACTCAAAGTTCTCACTCAATCCCCCGACGTTGCCCGAGTTGTCGACGATAAAGCTGTCATTCGCATAGCGAACAGTCACTCAGTGACGGGACTTAACACCAACTTGACGAATAATTTAGTAGAATTTTCGAGCGTCACAAACGTCTTCCTTCATGGAGGTCACCACTTCACTTTACCATTGGTTGCGATCATCCCAAGCTCGCTTTGTCATTTTACAGGGTTGGCAGGGGAAATCATCGTCGTGAGACTTCTGGGCAGACGACTGCAAAGTTCTTTCGATGATCTAGTCACTGCAGCGCAGCTAAGTGAATCCAAAAGTTTTCGCAGTAACTCCATACACTGCTTCGGCGTATATTTTTCTTTTAGATTCTCTTGCGTCCTCTGTCTTGCATACTAAACTTGATAGGACATAGGGCATAGTACAGAGAAAATACTAGAACACAGCATAGGGGACAAGGTAACGGAGCATTTGCATAAGTGCCGTGAGAAGACTTACTTAGCAGCCTTTTTGTATATGCCTGTTGCACTGTCAGGAACGCCATTTTGTCGTAACATTTTGCCCGCCGTTTCTACGCATTCAATCATTTTGGGAAAATCTGGTATTTCACGATACAAAAGGGAAGCCGTGTCGTAAGCCTTCGCGCAATGAAAAAACGATCCATTATCTGCATTTAACTTCGCTATCTGCAAGAATAAGCGCAAAACATCAGAACATACGAGGCAGTACAGTTCGGCCGATTCCTTACGCATTTTCAGATTTTGATAAATTATCGCAGCTTTGCCATAGTATTCAATAGCACTGTCTAAATCCGGCTTCCACTTTAGAAGCGAAGTTTTGAGACTAAAAATTACAATGCAAAAGCAGTACCTTTTCTCGGCCTTCTTGATAAACTCTTCGGCTTCTGCCAACTTCCCAGACATGAGCCTAAATTTATAAATCTATTATGTAACCCGCCTTAATTTTAGCCTATTAAATCTACCTCCAAAGTGCTCAGCGTGGTTAATGCAACTAAAATGTTTGGTTTTAAAATTCGGTTCGGAATAACGATACGTAATAATGAAGACCCCTTCTGTGGAGTTGTGAGTGACCCTTAGTATTCCAATGCCAACGATCTGGACCTTATTATTGTAAGGTGGCTACCCTCGGGAGTCTGAGGATTTGATAACTAGCTCCAATATTCACAATGCATCAAACATAGCTTCTACGATCGTAAATGGAGAACGCTAGGGCAGTACAACAAGTGGAGCAATGAAAGACAATTGTCTTTATAAGTTAACTTATAAAGTTGTTGAATAGTAAAATCAAATGAATATACTGAAAACGGAGCTAGAACATGTCAAATATTAACAACACTGCGGACCACGAAACTGACAAGTGATTGGTTAGTAAAATAGTAATAGTAAATTCTTCATTAAGAATGAACATAAACTTGTCGGGAAACGACCGCAGAAGATGCCAAATAAACCGGGTAAGTATAGTAATAAAGAGGAATACCGCTTTTGTAAAACAAAGAATACCTAAAATGAATAGGCACTTTAACGGCTATGTATAAACCATATTTGCCAATAATTATGTCGGCACATCTATAACCATAGCTGTACCTTTCTTTCACTTTTCTTTTGGGGCACGTGTCCTATAAATGAATTACCCTATTCAAACCCTTAAGACGTCAATAAAAGTGCCATAGATATTATTCCACAACGAAGGTCCTATGAAGACACATGAAGCCTGTCTGTCCCACATTTGTTGTATCTCAGTTATGACTGAAAATGTGTAAACTATGGGACCACGGGTCGTTGTTTCGCACCAGTATGTGAATGCTATCAATTGCCCTTTCTCTTCATACGTCAATTCATAATTACCAAACATTACCCATGTATTTACCAGCTTCGATAGGATACAGTGGTTGTTGTGCTAGGAATGTAAGGGACCAACTTGCGTGTTTTGTCGATAAGACGTTCAATTTAAAAATCACGTTACTAGCGCGCCTTTGAACACAATTCCTAACTTCGTCAAACCTGGACAGAATGCTTTTATTGCCTCTCTGTGCCTACATTCCTCCTTTAATGTGGGTGGTTTCTCCTGCAGTGCCAAATGTGTTAAGAACTTTGGTGTTTCCAGATTCTGAAAAAATAGGGGTTGTGCACAGTCATTTTCTTAGTCCAGCATCTACATCATCCTACAGCAAGCTGAGAGTCAAATTCATTCGTAACCAAGCTGATAGCTCTATGAACAAACGGCTTCTCCCAACTCGCATAGAACGGGAAACTACGTCCGTCAGTCCACTGACGGATCATTCTGACCGCATCTTTAGCATAAGTATGTCTAAGAAAGGCATATAAGGCTTATACTGCTAGCCACCAAACACTGTCGTAGCCTTTCTATGGCGATTATCATGCGGCATATAATGACAGTAATGCTTGACCTCTAATCTTTCACTGGGGACTTTACCCAATTTCAGTAAACATATTAGACTGCCCAGCAGTATTTTAGGCACGTGCACGTCCTGCATAGTTGCACGAGTACATGATCGCGATTCTCCGTCTTTCCATCGTTTCTTCGTGTGTAATAACCCGCGCCTGCGCACAATAGACCCAAAGGCATTCTCATTAAAACCACTTTTCTCGGTCATCTCATTGTCTAATCGTTCTAAATCCATTCGTAAGGCGGTTCATGGTCAGACGTCTTTTTAGTTGTCCAGGCTCCTTTTAACGTAGTGCCTATGGGCCTGCAAGATACGAAGCGCACATATAAATGTAGTAATTCCAATTGATGGAAACGTCCGTTTCCAAAATTCTACCCTTTACGTTGGCGTCAAGAGACCCATTCGCAGTATCACGGTTACAGTGGGCGGGGATATCATTTATTTGCAGTGGCTTCATTCATAACGAACCCATAAAATGATCACTGCCGATGGTCATCTTCGTATCTCCCAAATAGGTGGTATACTGTAAACCTTTGGCTGCAAAAAAGGGACACACGACCACTGAAGCATAAGCTTTATCAGCCTGACGTTTCAAATACTAACTAGAATCCATCATTACAGACAGAGTCATATAAGGGCAGTGGATTGCATAGGTGTTGCGTCTATAGGATGTAACTGCTGGGCCACTACATGCATATCACATTTTGCAGATCCGGAGTGCCTCACAGCTCGACAGGCCAGGTGTTGAAGTATGCCGTTGCCATTCAGTTGCTATGCGTCCGCACGCAGGTAAAGATTATCTGGTCCCGCGCTCATTGAGCGCTGACCAGTGACTGAACACCGCAATGGGTCATCCGTGTGGACTCTTGGATGATTTGACTCGCCAACATTGAAACCGGGGACAGTGGTTATCCACACGCTCTCCTCGCGGATAGCAACTTTACCTAGACTAAATTCAAGTGCCGAATATGGAGCGAGAAGGTCGTAGCGCCTGTTGATTTTTTGGGGACCGGAAAACCATGACTCGAGTTCGAAGCTCACGCGGTCGTCACTTCCAGCAAGAACATGGATGTGTAAATGAATCCATCGGATTAGCCGCGACTTGGGAGGTGGCGTCGTTCCTCTCCACAGCTGCCGTGTGCTCGATCAACCGCTGCTTTGCCCGCAACTGCAGCAGACACGTAAACGACTCCAGACGTTTCCTGCCATGGCGCTGGGTCTTTCGGCCTCATGACCTGGCGCCATATGATTGTCTCCGGTCTGTGTACGACTCCATTCCCAAGGGGCGTAAGAAGGTGATTGAGAGCTACCGAGACATCCCTCACGTACGGGACAGTTCGCCAAAATTCGGGGCAATTGGGATTTTCAAAACAAGCATGTACAGCAGAATTTATTGGGGCCAATAAATTTCGTGACAGCTTTTCAACTGCAACCCGTCTCTGCATAACATAGGTAAAGAATAAAAGCGCACAGCAGTATGAATTTGTACAGAATGGCAGTGCATAAGAACAAGGTCAAAGTTCAAAGCTATCAATAATCAGATTAGACGTCCACATAAGCATCAAAAAGGAAAAAGGGAGACGAAATGTTAACAAAAAATCACAGGCAGGGGACAATAGAGGCGTGAGATTACCAGGGAAATTGCAGATTGATCACGTGATCTAACTGGCTGCACAGGTCTGGTTTCTCCCTCCGTATGTATGCTGCTTCCAAATAACGCAAGGTTCGAGTTGTACGTGCTCGGACAAGTACTCGAAAGGATGCTTTAGGGTCGACAACATGACCGCTATCTAACAGGTGTTTCGTTATAGACGAACGGGGGGTTCTGTTTTCCTGTTTGAAAAGCCAATTAGGCAAATGCTCAGCGGCCCTGGTTGCCAATCGCCTTTGCGTTCGCCCAATGTACGTACATCCGCAAGTGCATGTGAATTCATCCACACAATTGGGGGTGGCGTGCATTGGCAAGGCATCCTTTGCCCGGTTAATTGGAAGACTTTTTGTGGAACTGATGAAGATAAGCTCTGCTGCGTTGTACGTTCTTTCTATAGTTCAACGCAAGCGTCGCTTGATTGTGTTTGAGAAGTTGTCACCCTTAAAATGTAGACATATTATAACGGACTTCTTCGGAATGGACTGTTCCGTTAACTTTGGCCGTAAATGGTTGCTGTACTTCTGAATGAAGCGTGCAGGATAAACACGATTAAGTAAGGCTTCTTTGATACGGGCAGTTTCTGTATATATGGTATCCCTGGAGCAAATATTTCTCGCTCTCTTAAAAAGAGTATGTACTAGATTACGTTTCCATTGTATTGGCGCAAAGCTTTTAAAATGTAGGTAGTGCCCTTTCCACGTAATCTTGTGGAAGACGGAGCGTCTTATTTAACCATCATCCTCTCTAAACATGAGGACGTCCAGGAAGGGTAACTTGTTAAACTGCTCCATTTCCATCGTAAATTTGATTTTAGGATGCAGATTATTCATCAGGCAAAGTAGGTCGGAGGCGTCTTCCTTGTTGTCAACAATCGTGAATATATCATCCACGTATCTCCTGTATACTGTTGTCATGTTTAATTCTGAGGATACCTTTTCTTCTAGGTAATCCATAAAAACATCGGCGAGGGTTGGCCCAAGTGGACTACCCATTGCGACTCCGTCAATTTGTCTGTAAAGTTCCCCATTAAACAGAAATTGAACACCTTTGGTGCAAAGTACCAACAGATCTCGTAGTAGTTCGGGGGAGAGTCGGGTTTTGGACGCATGGGCGCATATAACATCTATTGTTTCAACCAATGGTACGTTGGTAAATAAGGATTCCACGTCTAAAGAGATCATACACTTGTCCGCGATGTTCTGGTCCTTAATTTCTTTAATGAAATGAAGACTGTCTTTTATCGTGTAGGTGGAAAACAATTGCCGAATTGGTTCTAGCTCCTTGACAAGCTATTTTGCTAGTCTGTGTGCAGGTGAATTAAACATAGAAAGAATTGGCCGTAAAGGTGTGTCCTTTTTATGCGCTTTTGGTAGACCATATAGTCTGGGGATATGTGTACCTCTCGTTTTTGTGATAAGTGCGGTTTTAGTATCAATCAGGCTTTTGTCCAACAACGTTTGAACCTTTTTCCAGACTGCGCCTTCCAGTGTCTTGGTTTCATCTTTCCCAGACGCCTCTAGACGAAATTTGCTCTGATCATCTAAGATGCACTTCATTTTCCTATCATAGTCCTTCCGGTTAAGAATAACAACTCCATAGCCTTTGTCAGGCTTATAAATTATTATTTGTTCATGACCTTTCAATGCGGATAAGGCAGCTATGTGTTCATTGGTTAATGGAGTCCGTTGTGTTACAGGAGCTTTACGGTACTGATGAACAATATCCACAAATTTTGCTTTCAACCAGCCGACATCGTC